AAAGAATTTAACTGCTTTATCATATGTTGATGTAATGGTTGAGTAAATTTAATCGTTTAAGTATGTCGAGAGAAATAGATAATAACCAAGTGAGTTAACAAGGAGTTTATAAACATATTACCCCTGTTCACACACACTGCATTCTGTTTGGGACTGCATCACCTTGTGCAGAAAACAACAACCAAATGGCAGAGGAAGAGGTTTGCGAGTTTATGACAATGTTGTTAGCCTCGACCATTTCTGGTAACTCCAAGTAACTCATCTCGATAGGAAATTCACTGAGATTACAACCATCTAAGTTCAGTATTTTGACATTCTTTACCTTGCCTGTCGTTCTTACAAGCTTCCTTGCTTCATTGCAATAACTCAGATCAATGAGCTCAAGTCCATCACATTGCTCAATTGACTCACAAATCTCGATCAAACTTATACAATTTGAAAGTATTAACCTCTCAAGTGCGTAGAATTCGGAAAAGCCACCAAGACTACGAAGCTGTTCACAGTAACTTAGATTGAGAATCTTTAATGATCTAAGCAAGGGGTTTTCTTTTGAGCCCAATCCAGTTAACTGATGAAAACAGAAATGACAAGGTAAAATAACTATTGAATTGTATTAACCAAACATTGAAGAATAACATAAAAATTGAAGTAAATGCTTCAAATTTCTTACCTTTTGCCTATTCTCCAGTATGGGGAGTTCCAAAAGGCCACAGAGACTACGCAGTTGATCACAGATAGAGCCCAATCCAGTCAACTGTTGGAAATGGAGATAAGGTAAAATAATTAGTGAATTGCGTTAACGCAACATGAAAGAATAATAAGAATTGAAGTAGATTCTTCAAATTTCTTACCTTTCGCCTGTTCTCCAGTCGTTGCGAGTCACTGTAAGACATGTCAAAAGATACCAGCTTGCTATAAGACATGTCAAGAACTACCAGATTCTCCAATTGTAAATCTGGAGGTATATACTCTAAAGGGAACCCATGCATACACAACCATCTAAAGTCTTGTGGAAAATTCTTATAGGACCCCTTGAGTTGATGCACATGATTGAGTTGTAGTAGCATTATATTATCCATCTTACTGAACGCATCAGTTTCCAACTCATGTAACTTGTCTTTCTCAAGCATTCTCATGTCAAGTGCATGGCCTTGAAGGTTCCTCTTACACTGTGAAGAAAGACAATGCAAAAATTTAAAATTAATATGTTATATAACATGAAATACTTTGAACATGCATAATTACTGACAAGCAAACATACATCCTTTTTACCTTTTTTTGTTTCAACACTTTGAATGACTCCTCATGACACCATAATCGACTTTGCTCCTCTGGCCTGGTTGGTGATTCTTGGTGTACTATGTCTCTTCCCATGTCTTGAAGCAATTGATGCATCATCAACTTGTTATCTTGATTAATCCAAAGAAGGCATCTATCAATGAGATTCTCGATCCCGAGTACTGTGTGGAACCCACATGCCTTTAATATTGTTTCGGTTGATTCTCTATTTTCTCCAATGAAAAAACAAGCAATGTGCTTAAACAGTTCCTTCTCTTCTGTAGATGGCAAAGAGTCAAAGCTCATTTGCAAGACGTTTTTGATACATGAATCAGGTTCTTCCTTGAGCCTTTTTATGCAATCCTTCCATCTAGCTACATCTCTATTCCATAGAGACCTGCCCAAAACTTTAAGAGCCAATGGATGTCCCCCACAATACTTAACAAGTGTATCTGAAACTTCTTCATAACCTTCCTTTGGACTGTTGCGCTTGAATGCCCACGAACTTAAAAGTTGTAGTGAATTATAATCGTCTAAGCCTTGAAGTAAGTGCTTTGTATGCTTGGGTTGATCTATTTGGTTGAATAGCTCACACTTCTCTGTCAACGATGCATCCTTCGTTGTTATTATGATTTTGCTTCTAGGATGAAAACCTTTATTTCCAAGTAATGCATCCAAATGGTCGAGACTATCAACATCATCAAGAACTAGAAACACCTTTGTACAAGCTATTGCATTCTCAATCTGAGAGGTGTATGTGGAAATATGATAAACTTGAATCGAACTTGTTTTTGAAATGTCATGACAAATTTGTTTTTTTTAAGTGTGTATTTCACTAAATGACATATAGTATAGTACCTATCCAACAACTCTTAATTTAAACTCATTTTAGTTACTATAATTCACAGCTCAAAATCAACTTTTTATCAGTTTTTAGATGCAAATATAACCAACCTAGAAGCCTTATTTCTAAAAAGTGTCTAAAGGACAGGTTTAGAGCTACATATAATCTTTCTAAAATGTCCAGAATCGTAACAATCCGAGCTACGGTTAAAAGGTTATCGCACATTCAAAACAGCATGTCGGATAGATTTGGTGCTGTCAAATTCACCACTAAATAGGCTAARACHCATATTTTGGATTCAATCTTTATTCTAACAATCAAAATACCATCTAACCATGTTTATATTATTGTTTACAAGAT